GTATAGCTTTCTGTCATGAATATAATTATATAATAAACAAAACTAAAATAATGGAGTTTTAGAATATGTAAGGTCTTACTGACCACATGACCCTAGGCCCCTGAGACAAGGAGCCTGTCACAGAGGTGACAGCATCTACAAGAAAGTATGAAGCTGTCAGGCAGGGTCTGCCTCTGTCATCATCTTCTCTTGTTTACATATTCTCAAGGGGAACTTTTAGTGGGAAACTTGGTTTCGTTGTCATGCGGCAAGGGTGGAGGACACATTCAGGAGACCTGGTCCCAGTCCAGTGCTGTCACTCACATTCTGAGAAGCCTGGGTAAGTCATGTTTTTTTCTCAGGCCATTTTATTATCTTTGAAAGGAGGAAAAACTGGAAGGGCCCTGGAGACTATTGTCACTCTATTACCCTACCGTCTTCTCAGTTCCAAAGAAAAGGGATTTTTCTGCCCTATATCAGGATAGAGGACAAATTGGCAAATGTCCAGAATTGGGGGGGGGGTGGGGGGGGGAAGAGGAGGCTCTGGTGGGAATTGGCTGAGCATCTGCAAAGACGCAATGGGTAGTGCAGGGCCTGTGCTGGGGGTTCTGGGTAAGGTAGTATCTCCCTGCCTAGGGCTGCACCCCACCTGGAATTATCCAGCAGACACCCTGTAAGGAGCCACCTCCCTACTCCAGCAGATATGGGGGGGGGTGATCCTCCCATCCCACCTTTCTTCCATCAGCTGAAACACACAAGGCTCTGGATGTGGAACATCAGCCACACGGTGCTCACTCTCAGCAGGAGGATGGTGAGCTGTCTCAGGGGCAGCAAGTCTGGAATCTGCTGCTTCTGTGACCCACCTGCCCCTCCCTGAGGCCCTGGTGACCATTAATGAGTATTTCACTTTATTTTCACTGCAACCCTGTCAGCTAGATGACAATGGTTATCATTAGGCACATTTGACAGTAGAAGCAGCCGAAGTGCAACGATGCTACGTCATTTGCCCCAAGGTCACGCTGCTAGCAAATGGAAGGACAGGGAAATATGTAAGCCAAGGTCAGCTGGCTCCAAAGTGTCCACACTCTGCAATAGTGAATCCCATACAGGGCCAGTTCCCAGTATACGACATCTCTATTTTCTATTGTCTTCAAAGCACTCAGGCTGAGAGGTGACAACATTTCATGTACGTAAACAGAACTTTTGCATATTTCAGTGCACATCCAGGGCAATGTACATGGCCCTCCCTCTTGTGACAGAGAGGAAAACTCAAACTCACCCTCCCCACCTCCTTCTTGGACCCTGGAAACCAGGTGTACATCAGGTCCCCCAGTGACAGACCAACTCAGGACTGTTGATCTGTGGTCACCTCAGGCCCCGGTCCCTGGGACCATACCTCTGATTCCTCTTGCTGCCAATCGTTTGCTGAGCAGCAGAAGCCACCCATGGCTGGACTACAGGGACTGCCAGAGGACACTTCAAAGTCCCCAATTACTGGCATGTCCCAGGCTCCTCACATCATTAATCCAGTGATGGCCAATTACTACATCCAAGAGACAGCCCTTATCTGCTTTCCACGGGAACTTCAAATAATACGCAACACAGGCATGCCAGTGCCATGCCCCCAGCAGGTTTCCAATCATCATTCTTCCCAGACTGTCAATCACTGGCCCACACAGTGTCCAAAAGTGACTTATGGAGAGGCCAAACACTGACCATTCCTGAAGGACATAGGTTATGGCTCCCACTCCAGAAATCAACCCGGTGTTCCTCCCAAAATCACTGGCCTTCCAGGCATAATAGTATGGCTCCACATTCCCACAGACATAGTGGTCTAAAACAACACACACATTATTTTGTAGCTTATATGGGTCAAGAATCTGAGCACAACTTAGCTTGGTCCTGTTTCAGGTTCTTTCAAGTGGCTGCAAATAAGGTGTCAGCCAAGGTTAGGGACTCATCTGAAGCCTCAACTAGGGAAGGATCTGCTTCCATGGACATTTATGTAGTTCATTTGGGCTGTTGAACTAAGAGCCTCTGTTTCTTACTGACTGATGGTTGGAGGCCACTGCTATACAGGCCTTTCCAATATATCAAGTTGCTTCACTGAAGCCAACAAAGAAAGCCTGTTAGCAAAGACAGAAGCCACCATCTCTTGTAATCTAATCACAAAGGTGATGTATCCTCAATTTTAAAGTATGCTATTGGTGAAAAGCAAGTTACTCAAATAAAAGGGATTACACAGGTCATGAATACCAGGAAGCATGAATCTCTGGAGGCCATCTTGGAAGCTACTTCCCATAGATCGTAGAGAAATGAGGACTCCAATGCAGAGATCCTGCACCCCTTCCCAAAATACCATTCCTCAGTGCAAAACCATGATAGTTTCAGACATCAAATATTTAAGAGTATTCCACCAACTTACTCTATTTGAGGAAAACACTAAAGGAAGTATTTTAAATAAATGAATACTAAATCAGAAGATAGATCTGAAAATAAAAGAACAAAACAATGGTTAGCAATGATTGTTGTAAAATACATGCAGATAGCTATAGTTAAATTACGACAATGTGACTGGGGATTTTGAATTAAAATGTTAAAGTAAATTGTCTTGAAGCAGAATTGACTTAGTTTAAGAAAAAGTCTTCAAATAAACAGTTTAAAATTCTCTAGAAAAACCCATAAGTAATATTATTAATCTTGCTGAGACAAATATAGAGGATAGAACATATTTCTTTTTTCTTTTTAATATAATTTATTGTCAAGTTAGCTAATATACAGAGTATGCAGTGTGCTCTTGGTTTTGCGGGTAGATTCCCATGATGCATTGCTTATATATAACACCCAGTGCTCAACCCAACAAGTGCCTTCCTCATGCCTATCATCCATTTTCCCCTTTCCCCATCCTCCCATCAATCCTCAGTTTATTCTCTGTATTTAAGAATCTCTTGGGTGGGGGGGGGGGCGTGCCTGCGTGGTTCAGTCAGTTGAGCCTCGGACTTCGGCTCAGGTCATGATCTCACAGCTCGTGAGTTTGAAGCCCATGTTGGGCTCTGTGCTGACAGCTCAGAGCCTGGAGCCTGCTTCAGATTGTGTCTCCCTCTCTCTCTCTCTCCCTAACCCACTCGCATCCTGTCTCTGTCTCTCTCAAAAATAAACATTTTAAAAATTAAAAAAAAAAAAGAATCTCTTGGAGTGCCTGGGTAGCTCAGCGGTTGAGTGTCCCACATCAGCTCAGACCATGCATGATCAGTGAGTTCAGTGAGGTCAGTGAGTTCAGTGAGGTCAGTGAGTTCGAACCCCATGTCCGGCTGTGTGCTGACAGCTGGAGGCTGGAGCCTGCTTTGGATTCTGTGTCTCCATCTCTCTCTGCCCCTCCCCCACTCACACTCTGTCTCTCTGTCTCTCTCTCAAAAATAAACATTATTTAAAAAAGAATCTCTTATGGTTTGCCTTCCTTTCTGTTTGAAACTATTGTTTCCCTTTCCCTTCCCCCATGGTCTTCTGTTAAGTTTCTCAAGTTCCACATAGTGAAAACATGTGATATCTGTCTTTCTCTGACTTATTTCACTTAGCATAATACCTTCTAGTTCCATCCATGTTGTCGCAAATGGCAGGATTTCATTCTTTCTCATTGCCAAGTAGTATTCCATTGTATATATAAATCACGTTTTCTTTATCCACTCATCAGTTGATGGACATTTGGGCTCTAAGAGCACTACTAGCAATTTATCCAAACGATACAGGAGCATTTTTCTTTACAATGAAAGGTCTAATTACAGGCGCCTGGGTCGCTCAGTCGGTTAAGCGTCCAACTTTGGCTCAGGTCATGATCTCACAGCTCGTGGGTTCAAGCTCCGTGTTGGGCTCTCTGCTGACAGCTCAGAGCCTGGACCCCACTTCAGATTCTGTGTCTCCCTCTCTCTCTGTCCCTCCCCTGTTCATGCTCTGTCTCTCTCTCTTTCGAAAATAGACATTAAAAATTTTTTTCTAAAGAGAAAAAGAAAGGTCTAATTATATTTTGGTCAAATAATAGAGAAAACAAATTAAATCATGTCTGTTAGAAGTGAAAATTTATATAATGAACAATTAGTAAAAATAAACATTTGCAAACTAATGAGGTAAGGGGAGGGACAAACATGAACAGAAACTTCACTGAGCTATTAGGAAGAAGAAAAGGATAAAAGTTGTATTTAGGAAATAGTAAAATCAGTAATAAGCACAAAACAAAAAGATAAAATTATCATAATTATACAAATTTAAATGGACTGAATCTCAAGACACTAATGTGGGATTAAGAAAAAAAACATACACAGTTACAAAAAGTGTATCTTAAAGATAAAAATGCAAAATAAAGATTTAGGCAAAGATACATAAGGTGAGTGGCAGCAAAATAAAAGCAGCAGTGGTGATGTACTTATCAAATTAAACTCAAGGTTAAAAGCATTCAAACAAGGAAAAACAAAAAAAGACAGAACAAGGAAAATACATAATGTCATGCTGCAATATGGCCTAAGATATACAATTTAGGATACTGCTTCCCCCCCGCCCCGCCACCCCCGCAAAACACAGAACCACAAGGAGAATGTGTTTTAAAAGATTATTGCATTTATTGTATCTTTTTGTAATATAACAGTTGAAGTAGACAAAAAAAAAGAATCAGAGTAAAGAAACATTAATCATCAAACTAGATTGAAAGCCTTAATGAATAATCTGTACCTAGCAAAGAATATATTTTCTTCTCATATACATGAAAGTTTTTCAATTCAGTGGAATATATGACCTACAAAGAAAATCTTTTTTTTTTCAAAAAAATGTTTATGCTTATTTATTTTTGAGAGTAAGAGAGACAGAGTGTGAACCAGGGAGGGGCAGATAGAAAGGGAGACACAGGATCTGAAGCAGGCTCCAGGCTCTGAACTGGCAGCACAGAGCCCAACGCAGGGCTTGAACCCACAAGCCATGAGATCATGACCTGAGCTGAAGTCAGACACTCAACCGAGTAAGCCACCCAGGCACCCCTACAAGTTTAGATTCAACAGGCCACATTCTCTGATCATAGAAAAATCATAATTACAAAAAAGAAAGAAAAAATAATGAATACTTAATAGTTAGACACTAAGAAACTTTCTTCAACAGCTAGGATCAAAGTGAGAAATCAATTCTGAAGTTTCACATTTCATACCAAAGTTCAGGAGCTATAAGTGCATTTAGAGGAAAGTGTGTGGCCTGAAATCCTTTACTATATCTATATCTATATCTATATCATCTATATCATCTATATCTATATCTATTTATTTATACTTATATAAACAGGAGACTGGACACACTAATATAACTGAGTTAAGAATTTGCTTCAAAAGATCAGAACAAGAACAAAGAAATGAAGTAAACATATGAAAATGAAACACCAAACAAAATATCAAGAAGCGGGAATTAATAAAAATGAAAGTTTAAATAAATAAAATAAATATAATAAGGAATATGAATAAATTAAAAAGCCAGTTCTTTCAAATAATCAATTAATTATGTGGCTTAGCCCCTGGAAAATCTGATCAAGAGAAGTACAAAAGTGCACTAATTAGTAATTTAAAGGGGAGACATTACATGAGGTTAGGTAGTAATATAAACTAACTATGGGGGACTATTGGGTATAAGTCAAGAGCAACATACCTAACCATTTAAGTGAAATGTGTGAGTCCCTGGAAAAAAGGAATTATGAAGATTAATGAAAAAAACCATAAGGGACCAGTGAGTGGAGAAAAGTTAAGAAAAGTGTTCAAGTCTGTCATTTCAAACATGCCAGTACCCACAGGCAGCATTATCGGACACACCTCCACAGGAGACCTGGCTGGGGCTGACAAAGGCAGATACAGCAGAGGTCTCAGTCTTCCTCTGGCAACTCCATAGGTGTGAAACGGTCATGACCACAAGGGGCTTCAATGTACAGGGCAGGCTGGAAAGGACAGACCCAGAGCAGTGTGGTGGAGGGAGCAGGAGAGGATGTGATAGGAAGTGCTGGGGGAGACAGACCAGGACTGGACTGGCAGGGGCCAAGGCTGACAAAAAGAGCTGGGACCTCATATGATGATAAGGTGTGGAACAACATGGGCAGGGGCGTGACTGCCATGATACCTTGAATCCTCCTCAGTGTCCCCAAGTGGAATCATCAGGGGGGGATTATCCTACACTCATCTATCTCCCATCCCATTTTGGTAACACCTTTGGCCTGGGGAATATTAACAACTGCATAGAAGTTGATGAATGGGCTGTGCACTAATCAGGTGCCAACTACACGTCCGATGGCCTAGAATGGGGGACTGCCAGGACCAGAAGCCATTGGCGCCTTCTTTATAAGGTCATAGCTCCCCTGACAGAAGAGGGCCCACTGAGCCCTGAGTGGGTGTCACTTCACAGCCACTCTGCATGTGCACTGCAGCCTCCTCCTAAGTACAGTTGCACTGCCACCCACCGCCACCAGAGGTTTGAAATTGGGTTTGTGGCCAGAGAGACAGGTTAGAGGGCCCTCAGGGGATATTAATATCCTTTGTTCTTCCAAAGTTTGTCAACAAAGTTCTGGACAGTGGGGGATGAAGGCAGAGCAGATCCTTGGCCCTGCCAAGTTTCAGGGAAGAAAGAGAGAGAGGGATGGGGAATGATGGCAACAGAGAGCGATTCTGAGGACCCCTTCCCATCCAGGGGCAAACAGAGACAGGAGACCAAATGGTGAACAGAGAAACACAGAGAAACTCTAAGATGACCTAAGAAAAAAGTGGTTATGGGAACTAGTGTGTGAAGAATTCATTGAGGGTCTCCCTTGCACGGAGTGTTGGGTACAGGATCTCAGTCAAGCAGGGCTCAGCTGTCTGCTTTGGAGCGCAGGTCAGTGGTGAGCGGGTCATGCTGGACTGTCTGGTGAAGCATCAGGGCCAGGAGCCCTGCCCGGTTTGTCATAGCTGTGCGCACCTTGTGCTCCTGCTCAAGTAGCTCTTCCAGCTTGTTCAACTGTGGGAGGTAAACATGAGAGAAGGATTTCAGGATGCTATCCCACCCTTTCAGCCCCAGTCACCATTGTGGCCTACCATGCGAATACGCTCTAGGTCCACCTCAGCACGCCTCAGCTTCTCCCAGCAATAGTGGAGGTTGCACGCGCGTTTAGGTAGGCGACAGAAATTACCAGTGAACTCAAAGACATTGTGCACCAGTGGGCAACCGCACACCTCATCATCTGATGCCTGTGAGGAAGAATAAGGGATGATGAGGTACAGAGGAGGATAGAAATGGAGTGATCAGGCGGGAAATGGAGGGCACTCTAGCAGGAAGGAGAAGAACGGGGAATAACTCAGCGGGGGTGGGGGGGGGAGAAAGGAATTCAGGGATTAGGTAGAGAAGAGGAGGCAAAAGGGGAATTATCCTGCACAGAAGATGAAGGAAGAAGTTAAATAAGCAGGAATAGAGGAATGGAGGTGACCAGGCAGAAAAGATGGAAGAACAGAAAGAGATCAAACCAGAGTGAGAGTAAGGATGGAGGGAAGGTCTGACAGAGAGAAGTAGATGGAAGAGGGTTGGTAAAGCACGGAAAAAAAGTGAGGAATGGGACAGGGAGGGTGGGAGTAATAGGGGTTGGCTAAACAGGGAGGAAGAAAGGATTCAGGAGATGACAAGAAGGGAGAAGATGACTGGAGGCAGTGAGGCATGCAGAATAAGAACGAAGGAAAGTCAGAAAGTAAGGAAGAGAGGGAGGTGGGACAGTCCAGCAAGGGGTGGGAAAGGAATGTATGATGGTCAAGCAAGGAAAGGAGAAGAATGGGGAATGGTTATACAGTGAGGAGCAAAGGAAACAGAGATGGCCAGGCAGAGAGGAGGGAGAGAGAAATGTAGGGGGGTAGGTCAGGCAGAGAAAAAGTAAGAACAGAAAGTGTGATCCGCCAGCAAGGAGCAGGGAATGTGGGGTGGTCAGAAAGGGAGAAGGGGACACATGGGAGTTGGTCAGAAGATATGAAGGCAGTCAGGCAGAAGGAAGAAAGAAATAGGAGGCAATCAAGCAAAGAGGAAGAGAGGAATATGGCAGGGAGAAGGGGAGGAATGAAAGATGATGAGGTAGGGAAAGAAGAATCACCTTGGGATCTCTCGAGTGCTCAGGACACAGCACCTGAAGCCGCTTACAGTACCTCTTAGTCTTTGGGTTGTAAACATCACAGAAGAGCCTGGTGGCCCTGGGGGGGGAGGATGAAAGTGAAGTGCTAAGGGTCAGAAGAAGGGAGGTCCCACCTGAACCCCAAAGCCCATATTTTGTCCCTAACCCCACCCATACCCTGCCACTAACCTATCCACCTCTGCCTCTGAACACACCCTCTGATCTTTCCCACCCTGCTCCTGACCCTGTCCACATCATGCCTTTGACCTCAACTAGCACCCACACTCACCCTTCAATGCAAGTGGGATACATGGACCCGAAGGACGACTTGCCTTCATACTGGGAAGAAAGAGTACAAATGGGAGAAACTGTGGACTTACACAGCATGCCCTCCCATGACAAGCCCCAAACAACCCATTTGTCCCTGTGGCTCCTATGCTCCTGTCTGCCCAGCCAATGTCCCCCCTCACCATTGGCTGATGTTCCAGTCTTGGCCCTCCTACTAAGGATGGAAGAGAAGCACAAATGGGTAGAACCATGGATGTGTGTTGCATTTTTACAACAAACACCCAGGCACCAAACATGCCCTCCTCCTCATGGATCCCACCCAGCCAAAAACACGTTTACCTCCTCTTCCCCCAGCCAATTCCCTAACCTTGACAAAACAGTGTTCCATGTGGCGCAGGGCGACATGCGTCTTAACTGACTGCCCGCAGGAGACACAGAAGATCTGCAGGTTTGCGTTGTTCCTGTTACTTTTGTTGATCTGCACAGGACAGTGGAAGGGCCAGTGAAGAGTGGGCAAGATAGCAAATACCTTTCTGCTCCATCCCACCCACTCCCACGCACCTCCTCATCCTTGCACACAGGCTGCTGCTTGCCACGCAGAATTATGGCCTCAAGTTCATAGAAATGGCACTCCATGTCCTTCAGGCGGGTGTGAGTGTCCTGCTGCTCTTGGTGGATGCGCTCAAGCATTTTCTTGCCACGCTCCTCAGCAATACAGGGGCTCTTCTGCCACTGCTGGATGCGCTGGGGCAGAATCGCATAGATGCGGCTAGAAAAGGAGGCAACAAGAAATGGAATGGGTAGGTAGGGACATCAAAAGAAAAAAATGGGTGAGTGACCGAATGGTGGTGAACAGGTGATTGAATGGTGGATGGATAGGTGGGTAAATGACTATAAGGATGGATGCGTGGGTTGGTGGATGGAATGTGTATGGGTGGTTCAGTGGGCAGGTGACTGTAAGGGTGAATGGATGGGTGGGTAGGTGGATGAATGGTGGGAGGATACACAGGTAGAGGGATAGACAGACTTACGGATGGCATATATTATGCCCTACTCCACACCCTGTCGCTTAACTTCACTCACTCAGCTGCGAGCTTCATGCCACAATCATCTGAGCAGTACTTGGAGCCTGGCCGGGTAGGATACACACAGCCAGGTCCCAGGCACTGCCGCAGCGAGGCCAAATCCTTGGCATCTGCCTTCTCTTGGTGTTTATGCTTTGACATGAGCTTTTGCTTCTTCTTCTTCTTCTTCTTCTTCTTCTTCTCCTCTTTCTGTGGGACAAGAGTGGTCGAGGCAAGGACAGGAGAGTTTATGTCAGCTTCCTAACCTCGCAACCCAGCCCTGTGTTCCACCCGACCCCTGTCTTCACGCCCCCCATTCCACCATTTCTGTCGCCTTGCACTCCACCTTTTTATCCAACTTCTTTGTCTTCACTTTCACTGCTTCTTTCTGCATTGCAGGATCCAGGAGCGGAAACTTCTCAGTGTCACTCATCCAGGACTGTAGGCCGGGAAAATGCTGGCAGGTCTTCTCAACTTGTTTCTTAAATGATACTTGGACGCTGCCTCATTTCATTCTCCAAACTGATGACCCTCTCTGTCTTCACTGTCCCCTTCTTTCCACCCAGAGGCCTGCCATACACTTATCAGGCTTTGTCTAAAGTCCCCTCTCCAAATGTCCTGGCATAGGTTCCAGCCCTGAGGAAGGTCCTTTTCAGACAACAGCTGGAGTGAGGCTGTTATCTGAGAGGCCTCTTTTATTGCTAACGGCACTGCCGGCACCTGGTACTTCTGGGACAGCCTGGGCTTCTGCATTCCAAAGTAGGAAGCTGTGGTTGAATGGGCAGTGGGCAGTGTGAAGGGCAAACCCTTGCACTAGCTCCACTCCCCCATCCACCCTGTGTCCTAAACTCACCAGAGACCAGGAATTACAAGTAGGGCTCCTGTGATGATGGGAGGAGGACTCTGGGTCAGCACTGAGTGGAAACAGACTTACCCTGTCCCAACACTCCTGGTCCCACCTTCTGGCCAACATGGCCAGGTCCCACTGCACCTGCCTGGGACTGAATGGCACCACCTGTCCCTGCTTGCCCACTTCATCCAGACACACCTGGCTGGTCCTTCTCACCCCCATTTTGCCCACCGAAATGCATAAAGCCCTGCCTATCTGCCCAAAAAGGCTGGACTACACTCCTTCACAGTTGGTCAATACAGCCTGCCCTGCCCCATCCTTCAGGACATACTTGCCACCCTGCTTGCCCTGTACCATGGACCCGAATAAGCCACCTCTGCCTAGCCCACCCAAACATGCATGACCCCACACCTCAGACATGCTCCACCCACCTGCCTGCCCTACCCAGTCTCTCCAGGCCCCGCCTGCCAGACTGCCCTCTTGGACACATTCTGTCTCACCTTACAGTCCCAGCCCTGTGAGCCCCATACACTACGCCAAGGCATACCTAACCCTGCCTCATACAAACATACAAGGCCCTTCCCTCTTCCCAGACTCTCTCAGCCTCATTTGATTCTCCCACTTCCTGTACATACCCAGTTCTGCCTTACCTTCCATGTCCTAGGCCATGCCAAGCCCTATCCGCCCCCACTCCCCACATGCACATGCCAGATCATGACCTGTCTGCCCTGACTCACTTACCTAGAATAATTTTGTGATCTTTATTCTGAAAAGTACTCCTATGTGAACCCAGTGACACCAAGTAAAATATATAAATATACAAAACTTTTGAAAATTTATGTGTGTGTGCATATATAGATATAGATATGCACACACACATACATTTTGTATATACACATATATATGTATACACACACACAAATCACTTTCAGTGATTAAAAGAGCAGGCACACACACTGAAAGAATATACACTTTTGAATAAGACCATTATCAGTTGGAGAACTCACACTATTATTGAGCTAGAGATATAATATTAATAAAAAACTGACCCTGAAATTAGCCTTAAAGGAAGTCTGAACACATTCCAATGAATGAGTATCACATAAGGCACAAACAAGTTGCATTTGAAATTAATAAACGGTTTAACTTTTGAAAATTGAAAAGGCACTTTTAAGTAACTCTTGGTAAAAAGTAAAATAACTGAAATTGGAAAAAACTTATCACTTAATAAGACCGAAAGCAATACATACCCAAATGTGGAACTTTAGGACCAAAATATGAGAAAAGAAAGACGGAAATTAGTGACCCCTTGCTTTCAACTCAAACTGCAACGAGTCACTATCCCGACTCCAACCCATTACCTGACCCCGCCATTACCAACGCCAAAATCCACTTTAATGACCCACACACACACCTCTCCAGTCACAGAACCTACAGTCCCTCTTCAAAACCCTTAAAAATACCTCAGCACCGAACAGACGCTTAACGGTCCGGAGCCTCCAGGCAAGTGCCGTGAAATGGTTGACGGAGCTACTTCTGGTTCCGGTAGCGACTTTAGCCCCGCCCCTTCCTGGATGTGTTGGCTTTCTGCTTGCTCAAGGTCCTCTGCAGAGTTGATATACAGACAAAAGTTACAAGAACATGGTTACAGAGAAATGATACAGCTACACGTGTGCCATTCTTCAGAACGTCACCTCAGGCCCACATGGATACATTTGTCTCTTCTGGCGTCAATACCAAGTTTCATATATTGGAGTGATTGATCATTGCATTATTGTATATGACAGGAAAATTGATCCCGTTATCATTTCCGGTTATTTTGAATAATTTCGTGTCATTACTATTTTGCCATCTTCTATTATTTTAATTGTGTAGTAAGCAATGAGAAAAACAAACAAAAACACAGAAGTCAATTTTTTAGTCAAGAAAAGAGAAAAAGATTTATAGAAAAGCCAGGAAAGAAAGAAATCAAAATGTAAGAAAGTAGGAATAAGTTCACATTTCAAGTTCATATTTTATTACATAATCAGTAATAAAAAGTTATTAATGGGGTAAACTCTCCAGTTAAGGTCAAAGATCGCCATTTTGGATGAAAAATAACAAACCTAGTCGTATGCTGTTTATGCCAAACTTAGCAAATCATTAAGATACAGAAACATTTGAAGCAAAGGGATAGAAGAAAATTTTCTAGGTACATGCTAATCAAAATGAAGCAAGGTCGGGGCGCCTGGGTGGCGCAGTCGGTTGAGCGGCTGACTTCGGCTCAGGTCACGATCTCACGGTCCGTGAGTTCCAGCCCCGCGTCGGGCTCTGTGCTGACAGCTCAGAGCCCGGAGCCTGTTTCGGATTCTGTGTCTCCCTCTCTCTGACCCTCCCCCATTCATGCTCTGCCTCTCTCTCTGTCTAAAAATAAATAAACGTTAAAAAAAATTAAAAAAAAAATGAAGCAAGGTCAGTTATTTTAATATCAGACTAAAGAGACTAAGACAAAAAGTTATTCATTGGGATTGAAAGGGTAATTTCAAAATGACATGATTCACCATGAATATGTAAAAAAATTCAATCTTATACACAATTAAATGCTGTAAAATAAATATAAAGAAAAATATATTAGAACAAAAGGTGATTTAGAAAACAAATATTCCCATTGTAGAATATTACAACCCCACTGCTCTTTCAATTCCCACTCACTCTTCAAGACTTAGCTTTGGCATCACTGTCTGCAAAGCTCTCTCTGCTTCCTTTTCATCTGGATGACCAAACTCTCTTCTGAATGAACTTTTGGACATAATTATTTTTTTAAGTTTATTTATTTTTGAGAGAGACAGAGACAGCATGAGTCAGGGAGGAGCGGAGAGATAGAGGGAGAGAAAGAATCCTATGCAGTCTCCACGCCGCCAGCACAGAGCCCAATGCAGGGCTCCAACCCACAAAACTGTGAGATCATGACCTGAGCCAAAACCAAGAGTCGGACACCTAACCGACTGAGCCACCCAGGTACCCATGGACATAATTATAAAAGCAAGGAAGTTCCGGGGCACCTGGTTGGCTCAGTTGGTTAGGCGCCCGACTTCGGCTCAGGTCATGATCTCGCGGTCTGTGAGTTCAAGCCCCGCGTCGGGCCCGTGTCGGGTTCTGTGCTGACCGCTCAGAGCCTGGAACCTGTTTCCGATTCTGTGTCTCCCTCTCTCTCTGACCCTCCCCTGTTCATGCTCTGTCTCTCTCTGCCTCAAAAATAAATAAACGTTAAAAAAAATTTTTTTTTAAATAAAAAAAGCAAGGAAATTCCTTTTATTTTAATCTTGAAATTAAGAAGGAAATGGGGGCATTGCCTGAACTCTTCATACCTGTTTTGTGCCTGTCTTCTTCACTAGAAATGAAGGTAGGAACAATGTTGGTCTTGGTCACTTCTGGTTGCCCAATGCCCAGTTTACTGCCTGGCACACAGGGGTGTCCAATGACCAACAATGATCAAAGGAATGCATCAGGGGCCCTGCCCCTCAAGTGTTGTTGCAAAATGGAAAATTACTGTAATTTATCTGGTTCTGTATTATTCCTTGAAGATAAAAGCAAATATACGCTGTAATTTACATTAGAGTTATGTTTAAATATCTTTGACAAGAAAATCAGTGTTCAACAAATGTTTAAGATCTTTCTGTGAAGAAACTATTTTTCCTTGATTCAAGCCCCTAGCTAAATCTTCACAGCTTATATCTAACCCAGTTTAGGGATCTGGGCAAGAGATAAGAAATCCAGGCTGAACTCAGAAGTAGTCTGTGAGCTCTAAAGAAAAATTTTTTTTTTAATTTTTTTTCAACGTTTTTTATTTATTTTTGGGACAGAGAGAGACAGAGCATGAACGGGGGAGGGGCAGAGAGAGAGGGAGACACAGAATCGGAAACAGGCTCCAGGCTCCAAGCCGTCAGCCCAGAGCCCGACGCGGGGCTCGAACTCACGGACCGCGAGATCGTGACCTGGCCGAAGTCGGACGCTTAACCGACTGCGCCACCCAGGCGCCCCTCTAAAGAAAATTTTAACCCACTCGCTATGGTCGTGAAAGTTTATAAGCACTACTTGTGGTGTCCAAGCTAATGTTTTAACTTCTCTTTGAATTATTTTTCAAGGCTGTGGCCAACTCAGTGAGTCTTGGACAGCTTTTCGCTCTCCTTCACCTCTGGCTTCATACCTACTTCTCCAATGTTTCTTTACTGCTGTTTTCCTTCATTCTCAATTCCACAGCACTAGTTTCGGTTTCTCATATTTTACATCACAATGAACTTCTTCCTCTGCGATGTGGCTGGCTGATCCATTTTGCCTCCAGGATTGTATTCCCAAAGGGCTACAGATAAAGAAATATGTCACCATCCTCCCTGGGAATCCTCCTTGGATCCCCAGAATCAGAATCAGTTCTGCACTCTATGATGTTCCCCTCAAAGTTCTCTATGACAGGGGCCCCCTTCCCTGTGACAGACACGTCCTCTTCCCAGGCCCTCCAGGTGTCAAACACTCAGGGCATCCTGGATATTCACTCTCTTGTCAATCCAGCATAGGCTCCACATACCAGGCCTTTGCTCAGATCTGCCCTTTTTTTTTTGCTAGTTTCTGCTCACCTTTCAAGACTCAGCTTTGGCACCACCACCTGTAAAGTTCCCTCTACTTCTTTTCCAACTGGGTGACCTGTCTCTTTCGAATGTACTTGTGGGCCTAGTTATAACAGTGAGTGGTGTTCCTTTTACTTTAATCCTGGGATTATAAAGGATGGGGGGGGGGTTGCTGATTATACCTCTCATATCTGTTCCATGCTTATCTGTTTTTGCCTGTCAACATTCTGCTTATCTTCCAAAACTAAGCTCAGATGCTTGCCCCACTAGGATGCCTTCTCCAAACCCCTTTCTCTTCCTTCTTCAGTTTTTCCACAGCAATTCTGTCATTCTGCTTTGCATCACTGTGTGCATAGCAGGGTTCTCTCCTCCACCACACAGTTAAGGCAAAGCTGAATGTGAATGCCCTGACTCCCAGCCCAGTGCTCCTACAACAAGCGCTAGTGATTCTTGACTTATTGCTTTGGTTTCTTCTGACTTCCCAGATATGTGAGATGCTAAGTGCTTTGTGAGAAAGAAAGAGCACCTCCTTAGAGACAAACACTAGGATGGCCATCCAGACGGGATGGAGCAAGAACATGAACCAGTCCAGGGGTGGATACTTTAAATTTAACCTTTCCTCTGCAGACTGTTTCTGTACATATAATTTTGGTTTTTATAACATCTAATAAGTTAAAAAGTCTCTTATGGATCATGCTTTGGGTATCATATATAAAACTCTTTGCCTAATCCAAGACCACAAAGATTTTCTCTCATATTTTCTTTCAGACGTTTTATAATTGTATATTTAACATACAGGTCATG